AAGGGCTAGCGAGATACCATCTTGTTATATCGTATTATGATTGTTTTGAGAAAGTGTTGTCATCCGAGATTTATTAATTATGGCTTGCTAGTTGATTATGCTATTGATATGAGTAATTGTGAGACCTGAGAATTATTGCAAATGTGGTTAGTTATGATCTATGCTGAAAACTTGAATACTGGCTTGACATAGTTACAACAACAAGAGAAAACAGAGTTTGTAAAAGTTTTCTCTTTCTTTCTTTCAGTTTGTCAACTGAATTGCTTGAGGACAAGCAAGGGTTTAAGCTTGGGGGAGTTGATACGTCTTTGTCGTATCTACTTTTCCAAACACTTTTGCCCTTGTTTTGGACTCTAACTTGTATGATTTGAATGGAACTAACCCGGACTGACGTTGTTTTCAGCAGAATTGCCATGGCGTTGTTTTATGTGCAGAAAACAAATATTCTCAGAATGTCCTGAAACTCCACGGAACATCTTAGATAAAATAATAAAAAATCCTCGCCAAAGATGAAGACCAGGGGGCCCACACCCTTCTCACGAGGGTGGGGGCGCCACCCCCCTAGGGCGCGCCCCCCTACCTCGTGGGCCCCCTAGAAACCCTCCGACGCCAACTCCAACTCTATATATTTGCTTTCGGAGAGAAAAAAATAAGAGAGAAGAAATCATCGCGTTTTACGATACGGAGCCGCCGCCAAGCCCTAAAACCTCTCGGGAGGGCTGATCTGGAGTCGTCATCATCAACCATCCTTCATCACCAATTTCATGATGCTCACCGTCGTGCGTGAGTAATTCCATCATAGGCTTGCTGGACGGTGATGGGTTGGATGAGATTTATCATGTAATCGAGTTAGTTTTGTTAGGGTTTGATCCCTAGTATCCACTATGTTCTGAGATTGATGTTGCTATGACTTTGCTATGCTTAATGCTTGTCACTAGGGCCCGAGTGCCATGATTTCAGATCTGAACCTATTATGTTTTCATGAATATATGTGAGTTCTTGATCCTATCTTGCAAGTCTATAGTCACCTACTATGTGTTATGATCCAGCAACCCCGAAGTGACAATAATCGGGACCACTCCCGGTGATGACCATAGTTTGAGGAGTTCATGTATTCACTATGTGCTAATGCTTTGTTCCGGTCCTCTATTAAAAGGAGGCCTTAATATCCCTTAGTTTCCAATAGGACCCCGCTGCCACGGGAGGGTAGGACAAAAGATGGCATGCAAGTTCTTTTCCATAAGCACGTATGACTACATACGGAATACATGCCTACATTACATTGATGAATTGGAGCTAGTTCTGTGTCACCCTATGTTATGACTGTTACATGATGAACCGCATCCGGCATAATTATCCATCACTGATCTGGTGCCTACGAGCTTTCCATATATTGGTTTATGCTTATTTACTTTCCCGCTGCTACTGTTACAATCACTACAAAATACCAAAAACATTACTTTTGCTGTCTTTAGTTTTGTTGCCGCTACCACCACTATCATATTATTTTGCTACTAAACAGTTTGCTGCAGATACTAAGTTTCCAGGTGTGGTTGAATTGACAACTCATCTGCTAATACTTGAGAATATTCTTTGGCTCCCCTTGTGTCGAATCAATAAATTTGGGTTGAATACTCTACCCTCGAAAGCTATTGCGATCCCCTATACTTGTGGGTTATCAGGTGGACGCCGGAGCCGGAGCGGCTACCGGCGGGGAGGGAGGGAGCGGGGAGGAGGAGGGAGTAGTGCCTATTTAGTCTCTATGGCGGTTTTCACTGACAAAAGACAGTTTGAGATTTTTGGAAGTGGAACCCGGTGACGAGTGTACACATTCACAAGTTCCCACTCGTAGTTGTACCCAATATAAACAACCCAATCTCCATTTGCGCCTGCCCAAGCCTTGCCCTCAAGCGATGGCATCTTAACATCACACGTATCATTATCAAGAGGCATCAACTTGCACAAGGTGAGGCTTCCGTTGTCCCTGCGCCAGTCAGCAGGATCACGACGAAGAAAATAGGGGAGATCAACCGCTCCTGGACCCTTGGGTTGCTTGTAATGATGTTACTAGTTGAGTCGAGAATGGTCTTGAACGAACCTGCCATGCTAGCAAAGAGTTATATAAGTAGGAAAATGGGAAGAATTGAGGCACCTACAGAAGTAATGGGTCAGCTTATGATTTTAGGCCAAGATGATGACGTCGCACCGATCAATGAGTTCCTCCACCACGTCATCTTTCATATCGGGGCAAGAATAACAGAGTCGTTTCTGGCCTGTTTCCTCCATGGAGAAGATGATCGAACAATGGCAGAAGGAAGGGTGAAGGCAAATGGAGGGAGGAAGAGTGTGCGACAGCAGTTCCAAATCGAGAGGGAAAGGCGAAGAGGCGGTGGACGGTTGCCACGGTACAAGAAGAGACTAGTGGGGAGCGAACAGTTGCCACAGAGGTCACACACCGACGACAAGGCCATGAGTTAACCGCATGCCGTATATTGCACACACCTTGATCTGGCTGACCATTTCTTTTGTGTTGCCTAATCACAAATAGTTCATCCGAGTGAACCGTATGCTATACATCACACACCCCTTCATCTGGCTGCCCGTTTCTTTTGTGTTTACTAATCACAAACAGTTCATCCGAGTGAACCGTGTGTTGTATATCGCACACACCTTCATCTGGTTGCCCGTTTCTTTTGTCCTCCTCATCGCAAACAGTTAATTGAACTGAACCGTATGCCCTGCATCGCACACGCAACTAAAATCCGAACCGTGTTTGATGCATCCGTCATCGCAAATGTTTTGCATATTTTTTGATGGTTTTTTACACCACCGTTTGCGATTATTGCATCGCACACAGTTTCGTCGAATGGTCTCTTATCGTAGTGTCGCGTTAGCAGCATCCTGCAGTAGTGTTGGAATCGTTAGAGATGTTGAAGTCTTCTGTGGAAAGATCAAATACCCTACTGATTTTCTAGTTCTTGGTTCTCCACACGATGATTTTTCTGAAAGCTCACAGACGTCAGCGGTTTAGCGGCGGCACCCGGTTGGACGGGAACCACCTGCGCTTGTATTAGGGGGTGGGTTTGCTCTAGACTGCGTTCGCAATGTGTAGGATTGCAAAGGACGATTGTCCCATGAACCCTTCGTATTTAGGATGCAGACTGGCGTGCTGACCTCTCCGTTGAGCCTAGGTAGGACTACGGCGTGTCGATCAGTCAAGGCCGGGCATGACCCAGGAAAGTGTGTTCGGCCGGAGTTAATCGAGCATGTTGGGTAAGTTTGTGCACCCCTACAGGGAAGTTAATCTATTCGAATAGCCGTGGCCACGGTAACAGACGCTCGGAGTTGTATCCCGGTCGATACAACTAGAACTCGATACTGGAGACATGAAATGAATATGATGGCTCCGAGATTGCTTTTCTCGTGGTGAGTAGAGGAAGGATCACTTGGCGTTAATAAAATATACTTGCTACTTATATTATGTTAATCTGCACTCTTGTAATGATGCAAGATGCTTCAAGATTCTAGTCTTCGATAGTCTATGCTTTCCCTTCTCTTCTGGCATTTCTGCAGTTCAGTCCAAAGATATAGCCCCATTCGTTTGATACTGATGCATACTTAGTATAGATGTGATGTAAGTCTTACGAGTACTTTGTATGAGTACTCATTGTTACTTTGCTACCTCTTTTCCCCTATACCGGATTGCTGCGATCAGATGACGGATCCCATGAGCCATATGCCACCACCGACGACTACCACTACCCCGAGGGTTCCTACTACTACATGGAGGCCGCCGATGACCAGGAGTAGTTAGGAGACTCCTAGGTAGGAGGCCTTGCCTTTTCGATCCATGTTGTTGTTTTTGCTAGCCTTCTTAAGGCAGACTTGTTGCTTATGTCTATACTTAGATATTGTTGCTTCTGCTGACTCGTTTGTATTCGAGTTTATGTATTCGAGCCCTTGAGGCTCCTGGCTTGTAATATAAAGCTTGTATGATTTTAATTTATGTGTAGAGTTGTGTTGTGATATCTTCCCGTAAGTCTCGGATCTTAATCGTGCGTATTTGCGTGTATGATTAGTGCATGATTAAGTCGGGGTGTCACGCACGCTCAGACCTCAAGGAGGAGAAAAGACAGAGAGGTTCAAAATTGTTAATAGAGGCGACAGACAAGAAGTTCAAGCTCGAAGAGAGGAGGGCCATGCTTGAAGAGAGGAAGGCCGCGCTCGAGGAAAAGAAGTTGAAGATCACCGCCCAATGCGAGGATGCCAAGATGTTGACCTTGAATCTGGACTCTTTGGATGCGACACAAGAATGATCGTGCAATCCATTCGCTACCAGATGTTGCAGCGACAAAAAGATCAGTTGATAGCGGCGGACGATGAGGATGAGGTGGGTGTGGACGTGGAGGCGGACCCGGAGACTGTCTACGCGGCGATGACTACACCTTGATCGGGAGCATACGGCTGGGATTGCCGGTCCGGTAGGGCAGAAAATTGCACGGATTGTCGGACCGATGTTCTTTTAAATCCATGCATGTAAAAATTAAGCATACTTTCCTCTTTTTGGTTGTGATCGGACATGCGATCCGGCGTTGGTGTGATTGGACTAAATTTGAATTTCAAATTCCCTTCACTGACGAACATATACATAATAGCGTTGGATAACGCTCTCCTGCATCCGTGTTCGTAGATTTACGGGTCGTCGTCGGAGATTCCGTAAGAGCAACTCTAGCAGACCCCGCAAAAGCCGCGAACCCGCAAAATTCCGGCGAGTATGCGGGTTCGGCCCAAATTTCCAGCCAGAACAGAGCCCGCATACTCGCCCGGTCCGTAAAAAAATTGCGGCGGCCCGCAAACCACACGCCCGACCAGTATATCTACGGGTTTGCGGCGCGTTTGCGGGTCCATACCATATCCCCCCGCCGCCACCGAGCTACGCAATTCCCCACCCCCTCTCCACATTTCTCGCCGCCGGCGACCCCCTTCCGCCTCCAGCCGCCATGTGGGGATGCATGTGGAGCTCCGGACGCGGCTCCGGGAGCAGATCCGGCGGCGGCAGCGACCCCGAGCGCGAGCGGCGCGTCCGGTCGGACGACGCGAGAAAGCGCGGGGCGGGGAAGTGGACCAACCGCGGCCTCTCGCCGCCGCCGTGCTTCCACGTCCGCGAGACGGACAACTATGACCGTCGGCATGGTCGTACCCCGTCCTCTGCCGCGGGCTCGTCCTCCGCAGCGAGATCTTCCTACGCCGGGAGATCCTCCTCTTCCGGCGCGGGCCTTCTCCCCGTGAAGAGGGAGTGGTCGAAGGAGCCTGAGGACTTCGAGTTCGTCCTCATCAAGGAGGAGCCCGAGGAGCTTGGCCGCCGCGAAGTCGTCGGGCCAGAGGACTTCGTCGCCGATGTCGACGTGGTTGCGGCCGCCATTGCCGAGCGGAGCGTGCGCGAGGAGGCGGAGCGCCGACGCCACCACGAGGAGCTCGAATACCTCCAGTTTTGGCAGGCGGTCGCGAGCAACCTCGCCGCCAGGGAGAAGGATGACGAGTGGTGGCGCATCGGCGAGCAGCAGAGGGCGAAGTACATTGACCTCGGCAGCTCCGGCGAGGAGGATTGAGCTCCTCCACGGTGTCGTCCATGGTCGCGAGCTCGCCACCGTGAGATCCCCACCCCCTCTAGTACTAGCACCAATGTAGTATGCAGTATGAACTGGTGTTTGTAGTTTTTGATCATGTAAATATATGTAGTACGTGATGAACTAGTACGGTGCAATTTCTCCCGTGAAACTATTTTTTCAAATTATGCAGTTCATCTATGGTTTCTGTTCGACTACGCTCGTTCTCAACCCACAAACGAGATTTTCGTCAAAACCGCAAACGCGTTTTGAGAGTCGGGATTTTGTGGGGTCTGCTAGAGTTGCTCTAACCAAGTGAAGGAGAAGGCCCAGTGCAAGGTGACCTTACGCATGTGTGGTAGGAGTAGTACTTTGCTTCGCTCTTCCCTCCCAAAACAGAAGCATGCAACAACAGGTAACTCTCAAAACAAGTACCACCACATCACATACAGAAGCCATGAGAGCATGTACACACGGCATCTTGCATTTATAGGAAGATTTGCATCCAAGGAAATTGTCCGTGTACGTACGGTGTACCCTCAGCTTTCAATAACGCCTGTTTTGCACCAAACCAACGCCGTCCTTTCTTTGCCATAGACCGTACGTGCATACTACTTACACTCGTGCTCCCAGTACCATACTACCGTCCTTGCCCCGAGAACAATTACGCGCTCACCCACACGCCATCACACCAAGCACAAGACATGCGGTGAAAAGGAAGATAAGATCCGGTTACCAGACAAGCAAAACATTTCCTGCCAGCTCTCCGCCGCTGTCCACCAACGCCGACGTCGCCGGAAGCTCGAGTCGAGAAGCGCTGTCTGCTGCATGCTGCATGGTACTGTGCCGCGCAACCGCATTTCTTCTTCTCCGTCGTCGTCGTCGTCATGATGCATGAGGCGGGGCGCGCGGCCATGGCAGGGCACGTGAGCTTAACTAATGGCCGCCCGCTCCCTTTATCTTTACTCCTCTCCTCGCCTCCTTTGCCCGCTTCTACGCCTCCGCTTTTCGGCCCTCTCCCCTTTATTTTCCTTTTGTTGCAGCTGCTCCGTAATCTATGTTGCGCGTGGACCCCATGTTAGTGGCAGTACGGGGGAGGGAGGTTTAAAGCCGTTGCGTTGCTTTTGGAGGATGGATGGATGATGAGGTTGACGTCGTGCTGGGCCGCGCATCGGGCCGCGTGTCGCGCACACTGACACAATGGAGTATTCTTCTGTTGCCCTTTTAATGACCGGGATTAAGATACCTCTGCACACAATTCTCTACTGTGTTTACAGTAGAGTAGCTTCTTCATGCAGGCAGGGGCAGGCACGCAGTGGGATGATGCAGAAGGAGGGCAGGGCTTCTCATGGATCTTGACCTTGACCGCATAGTTCCGCATGGATTTGTTAGGATTACCTTTTTAGAGTAGATGTCTTTGCCTTCCTGATGAAAGAAAGCCAATAATGCTCTGCTTAATACTCCCTCCGTAAACTAATATAAGAGCGTTTAGAATACTAAAATAGTGATCTAAACGCTTTTATATTAGTTTATAGAGGGAGTACTGGATTGGGAGGGAGGAATAAACATGAAGCCAAAATCCAACGAGAAACGGGGGCGAGATTTGGGACCCCAACCCAACCCATTCCATTCAATTTAAAGTGGACACAAAGCTAATCTCCGGTCACCACAGTACGTCCCGCCCAAAATAAATAGGGGCAGGGCCAACGGGCTCAACTAAACAAGGCGCCCGCCCAGCAATCGGCATAAGTGCAGCACAAGCTAACAAATCAATCCATCGACGTCGCCGCGGCAACTTATGGGTCGGGTCGGGCGCGGCGACTTATGGACAAGAACGTCTGCAAACCTCATTCAGTTGCCTCCCAGGGCCACGGGCACGGGCGCGCCCAATCTCTTGACTGTGCGTGGAGCAGTTTTGTTCTCGAAAACAAGGAGTCGGGAGGTCTCGTGCTCCACCCGAAAAGCGCAAGCGAACAAGGGCGACAGCGACTAATCCGGCCACTCTCACATCGGCTGGAAAGCAACCCCCTCCAGCTCCAGTCCCGGCCAAAATTTAAGCCCCGCCCCCAAAAGCAAGGGGGGGAGAGAAAGATAGATGGCGATCCATGGCTTAATCACCGCCATCAAAACCAAACCTCCCTCTAATCAAAGCCAAGAAAGAAAGAAAAAACACCACAGCCACGAAGCCTTCGCTCACTGTCACTGGGCTAGCCAGCCTCACTCTCACGCACTGCAACCAACTGCGAGCTCGTCGCGCCACCCTAGGGGTTGGGCTCGGGCCACCATTACTCCCACTCCACCTTCCCCGTTTCAATTCACTCCAGTCC